CCCTCATATCCCTCTATTCCCAAACGCGGATCTTGGGTCCTTAGCTTTAAAAAAAAAAAAAAAAGAGGAGGCGGAGCTAATGCCTGATCAGAATTGTACCAGAGATAAAGTAAAATTCTGCTTTGATAAAACGCCATCCTGTTCTAAACCACATCAAGGATTATTTCTGAAACAGTATGGAGCTCAAATGCTTTTTCTCTTGCGGGTTTATCACAAGGTGAGTTCCTTTTTTTATTTCCTGCTTTTTAAACACGTGCTCTCCAGTACAGGTTAGCTCTGAGTGTTAGCGAGGCATGCTAATGTAAACAAAGACGAGATTAAGTCCAAAACACTTCAGGCATTATTTCCGATAGCAACTTTCTGTGGGCCCGCCGCTGATTTGACGTCATATCGGCTGCAAATCTGTATCCGCTCGTTGTTCCCCCGTTTTTAGAGGTTTGGGTACGGAGGAAAAGAGAAAAGGTTTTATTTTCTGCGTGAGTTCCTCGACGCACTGGGGACACATATTTATGTATAAAAGACATCAAAAAGTGCATTTTGCATGATAGGTCCCCTTTAATGATGGTAAGCATGGGTCCTATTTACAAGTACAGTGAGTAGCATTTTAAACGTCACCCCCTGGACCAGCTCCCTACAACATTAAAAAACAATACTGAAGGGCATTTACGTGAAAGTGTGACCTGAAGACTCCAGCTTAGTTCATTTCACTTCAACCTATTTCTTAAAGCATCTGTGTATTGACGATTCTGTCTCTTAAAGATTACATTTCAACAACTTTATTACCACCATTTCCATTACAAATGCTATAGAAACAAGATTGAGACGCTGAAAATGTCCAATATAATCAGGCAGCAGCACAAAGCAAAGCTGCAGCTCAAAGAGAGACTTTCAATAATGGCAGAATAGAATAAAAGTACACAGGATTAAACTGTTTTTATCTTATTGGCAGGGAAATTAAAAGCTAAATAGCTAGTCACATGTCAGTGCCCTCCTCAAACAAACGGACATGGATCTGCCCTGTTATGGATGAATAAGGGTCGGACTAATCTTCTTACACGCGCTATCGCCCCCGCTGATTAACCAGGGATTAAAAATGCACCGGGTCCTGCGCGAGAACATTTTAGTGGGTCGCTTTTTTAAGAGCAGAGCCGAGTATCTCCAGACAGCAATTTAGCGCTTTAGCTCCCCTGGCCACACTGGAAATGATGGAGCCGAGCTGCTGGATGCTGAAACATTAAAGCAGGATCCTCAGAGTGTCTCGCTGCCTGCCAGAGACCCTGAAATGCAGATGAGTCCATATGGTGGCTGCTGAGGAGATGTGAGGAATCCTCAACCCGGACAGGATGGGAGGCTGGAGGAGAGAAGAAGAGAGTGGAACTAACACAGAGACATTCACTCTGCAGGACTTCATGCTCAGCTCCAAATTCCCACTCATATCTGAATCCTTTCTGTGACTGTCCATTTCTATTCCGGGATGCAAACCAAAGCCGAGACCAATACGAGCTGACAGCTATGCTGAAAAGGTTTAGAGAGACAATAATGAAGGATGTCATGTTTGTTTTTGGACCTTACACTTCTTACTGCTTATTTCAAGCCCAGGATTTGGTTTCGGTGTGTACTCTTGAGGTTTGGTTCGATAGAGGCACCTCCACTCAAAGCTTTCTCCGTCACTAGGGTTACCAACATATTTCACCTGAAAAAAAATATTTTCATACTCAGGTTGTTCTTCCAAGTTCTGATTAGTAAGGGTTTTATCACAGTCCGATTCAAAACATATTTACTAGGGATGTCCCGATCACCTTTTTTTGCTCCCGATCCGATTCCGATCATTTGATTTTGACAATCTGCCGATACCGATTTTTCCCGATCCGATCTTTATGCAATGCATTAAGAGAAAAAAAAAGGTAACAGATGACGGCTGGTCATCCAACGCGATGAATTCAGCTATCTTGGCTGTTATTTTTTTGGCCTTTTCACTGTTCTGGGGCAGTTTCTCTTTCCTTTTAAAAGTCTCCGCCTTGCAAACATTGCATCTGGCTGTTACACTGCCTTCACTTTCAATGTTATAATACTTCCAAACTCCTGACATTTTCTCTGTCCCGAATCCCGAGTCACCAGCTGAACGTAGCCTCTCGTTAGCTTACTGCTACAATTAGAGACTGCACCCTGCCCACTCTGTCGCCAGATTTGAGAGAAATAAGCAACCAGGTCTATGAAAACAAGCCCAAAAGAAGCAACACATACATGATGTTGAGTGGTTTTAAACCAAAACTAAGGCCTCAGGATGACTTTAAGACGCGAACATGGTCATTTTTGTTTTGTAACATTAAATCAAATATTTTATAAAAAAAAAAAAAAATCCCGATCCCCGATTTTTTTCTCCCGATTCCGATCTTTTGAAAATCACGTGATCTGCTCCGATCCCTGATCACGTGATCGGATCGGGACATCTCTACGTAACACCTGCTTTCTTCAGGCAATGAGCTTCTAACATCTCAGCCTGACTTTTGTCAATTCTCCATGTTTGCAACACTTACATTCTTCAGTGTTTGTTTGACTTGAATCGAACACTAATGAGTTTTTTCTCCCCAGAAATCAACAGGAAACTTCAGAGGTTCATACAGAGTTGGACTCCATATTCATGGTGTGTAAACATGCTCACCTTTAATGTGATATGTTGGATTGTTTGAAGTAGAGTTCTTACAGTATATCCATGCAGTAGATCATGCAGTTTGGAGAAACTACAAAGTTATGTTGATGCTACACTGATTTGTAATAGGGAGAAAGGTGCCTCTCTCAGGCCCACTCTGCGGCCCAAACGCATGTTCCTGCACGTTGCATGTAATGTTGAAGTGCGAGTCGTGACGTCTCCTGTGCAAAGATTGTAAGATTATCGGCATTAAGTTCACTTTAGTAAAATTGCATCATATTTAATGAATTAAATGTTTTCTGGGGTTTCCTCTGATGTCCTCTAGAAACTCCGCTTCAACTATCGGTTATTTACTGGTAATGTTAACTGCTGCCAACGCAAGTTAGCAACAATCTGAATATGAGCACACAGGCTAACAACAGGGGTTTGGACCGCTGGGAGGAGAGGGTTTTCTGGGCGGGTGGGATGGGGATCGCCGGGTGTCGTCGCGTTGTGCAAGAATCAGAGCAGACACTGGAGGAGTGATCAGAACCTCTAGGTACGTTTCATTGACCTTAATTGTTTTTCCTGTGTTAGCAAGTGAATTGCAAACACAAGTGACTCAAAAACTGCAAAATGAATGATCACTGCTCCATATCATGATGATTTAGGGGTAAGCTATATTTAGAATATTTATTGCTTTGTCCGATAAACGTTCAGTTGGGGAACTGAAGCGGTTATTTATGCTCTGTTTTAAGCCACTAGACTCCTTTGGCATAACACCTACGTTGCTGTTCTACCCATGCCTTGATTGGGTTAGATGGTTTGTGTTAGTTTGTGATTTTTGTCAATCCGAGCTAACCCAAACACCAAAGTCAAACAATCCAACTAACCAATCAAAGCAGCAGTAGACGCTGTCACAGGTATCTCCAGCACTTGAATGGGCAAACTGCTAAATGGTCAGTGTAGTGCAGGAATACGCCTTGATTGCAACACTGTGACAGCAGCTCAGTCACTAGCAAGGATTCTGCTTTCGGGTAGAAACAGATATAGGATATTTTTCTGACTCAAGGGAAGACTTGGTAAGACAGAATACAAGCACATTTTTACAAATTTCAGAGTTTTAATAATTTTGTTGTACCTATGTCAATTTTATTGAATTGCAGCTTCTCGAGGAGAACATGTTTGCCTATCTGAAGAAAGAGCTTAAGAAGTTCCAGAAGGTTTTGAGAACTAATAACCCAGAATGCTTCGAGAGCCAAGGTAAGTCTGAAGGAGTGTTTGATGGGGAAGAGGAAGAGCAGAGAAGGAGCAGAAGAGAGGCATTTCTGAAGATCACACTGGACTTCCTGAGAACAATGAAGCAGGACGAACTGGCAGACTCACTGAGAAACAGTAAGACGTTTAAAATAAATGTTAAAATCATAGATTCACACGTCTACAGTTTACTGTCAATATTCAAATTTGCATTAGATCTATACATACTGGCTTAACACACCATGGGCGGGCAGAAAGAGCCTACTGTTGCGCCGACTTTTCAAGGGCGCTGAGGCAGCTTTCGCCTTTAGTTGCTAAGTGACCATAACCAGCTAACAGTGCCATCCTATCTTCCAGGTGTTGTTTTTTAAAGTTCTATTAAAATATTGTCCATGGGACAGCATTGTTTTCCCTAGAAAACGCAGTTTGCTTCGCTTCGCTCTGCTCTTGGTGTGTGTGGGTATGTGCATGACACGAGCACTTGAGAGACACAAGAGCAGAGATTATTAATGTTCGTGTCACATTTGATCAGTGGTTCTTATAAAATGAAGAAAGGTGAAACACTGGACAGATCAGTGTCAGTGTAATGTCACTAAAATAAACAATTTCTGCATATTGGCTGCATACCAATATTTACGAAAGTCAAGGTATCTCTCGGCTGTGATTGGTTGTTCCTTTTCACATTACAAGCAGTGCAAGCTTCTGCCTACCCAAAGTTTAACTTTCAACTCTGGGCGTTGCTTTCTCGTTTCCAGCCGTGTCTTTGTTGACAATAATGAAAATATGCAAGCCTAAACACGGCCCCTAATCACTTTTTTTTCTTGTAGAATTTCTTGCTGCAATGGGCCAACCTAAACTCAAATCTAATCTGAAGAAGAAGTTTGAATTTGTGTTTGAGGGGATTGCTAAAGCAGGAAATCAAACAGTTCTGAACCAGATCTACACAGAGCTGTACATCACAGAGGGAGAGACTGCGGAGGCCAATAAAGATCACGAGGTCATACAGATTGAGAAAGCATCCTTGAAACCAGACACACCAGAAATAACAATCAGATGTGAAGACATCTTTAAGGCCTCACCTGGACGAGATAAACCAACCAGAACAGTGATAACAAAGGGTGGGGCTGGCATTGGGAAAACAGTCTTAACACAGAAGTTCACTCTGGACTGGGCTGAAGGCAAAGCCAACCAGGACATCCAGTTCATATTTCCTTTCTCTTTCAAAGAGCTGAATGTGCTGAAAGAAAGAAAGTACAGCTTGGTGGATCTTGTTCATTACTTCTTTCCTGAATTTGAAAAACCAGGAGTCTGGAGGTTTGAAGAGTCCCAAGTCCTGTTGATCTTTGACGGTCTGGATGAGTGTCGACTTCCTCTGGACTTCCACAAAACTGAGATCCTGACTGATGTCACAGAGTCCACCTCAGTGGATG